GTTTGGCGTGATGAAGATGTCATCAGCTGCTGTCTAGTTCAGCATTACTTAATTATCCCTTGATAGTCTTAATAAGTGAGAAAAACCTAGGTTTTGGTTTGCGAGAACATATGGAGTGTTTGGCTCTGATGATGGCTGTTCTCACACTTTGATGAAGGTTTCTGCCCCTACCAAAAGAGCCAGTGAAATGTCCCGTATGGGTGCTCCTCTGTTAGCTCAAAGCAAATGTGTTCATGTTGTGCCTGCTGGCTTTGCACCAAAGTGGATGAGAAATACATGTTAACTCTTCCTCCGCTCTGCTGTGGGAGCAGTAAATCCTCGAAAACAATCAAAATAGTTTTCTGGCGGCACACCAGATTTACACAAGATCAAGCTTTTAGTCTTTTTGTGATAATCAATGAATAGTTACGTTGAAAGAAACTTTTCTTAACATACTTTTCAACTACTAGAAATTAGGGAATTTTCCACATTTTTTTCACCTTCTAAGTTTTATTCTCTTGTGTGATTAGCTCACTCAGAAGACAAAAAATGTCAGAGAATAGGACTAATTTGTAAGTGAATTCATGTGTTTTCTTCTTCAGGTATAGACCACTACTGAACTATTACAGAGTAAGTTGAGGAGGATTTGTGGTCTCGAGGTTGTCTGAGCCGTATGTTGAGCCTGATGTGCCTGATGGGATCAAGAAGTACAGCAGCCCGCCAGATGTTGGTGCTCTATCAAGTGAAGTGTTCACAGTCAGGACACCATTTGGCAGTCCTCCTTTCTTCCTAGAAGATGCTATATATGGTTCACTTGACCTTCATGCTGGCTGCTACCCTTAAAGTCTCCAGACCTGAAGAGGGCTAACACCATGTCAGCTTTTTTCTCTTTTTTTTGTCCATCTCAACTGGCATATGTTGTTTTTGTTGACTCTCAGGCTTGTGTGTCTGGAACTAGGTGCCAAGTAAGCAAGCAAAAATGTTTAGAAAAATAGCCTTAAGTAAGACATGAGAGACACACCTCATGTTCTGTTGTCATACCTCAGCAACCCCCGCCCTTTTTTGTTTATGAGAGTGTAATGCAACAAGGGAAAGAAAAGGATAAATAGGAAGAAATGTTGGACAAAAATGACACGTAGCTGAAATAAAATTGCATACATCTCCTCTGTTTTTTCAAGGAGTCTAATAGCATATATAAACTCAACAAATATAATCATTCTGGGATAAGTTGAGACTATAAAATTGTTTTAATTTCCCTTCTGAGGCTTCCTATCAGATGCCTGCAAGTATTTTCTGTGGAAGAATTAATCTCTGGAAGTCATCATAGAGTATTTTTTTCCCAGTGGGTTTGCATTATGATGGGGGGGGACTGACCTAACTCATGTTATCGTATTTGAGGATAGATTTGTCTGTCTCAAGAGTGCCAAAGAAGAGGCATTTATATCATATCATTAGGTAGAGCAGAGCTCCAATGGTAGCAATTACTTCCTTTAATAGGCAAATGTATCCGAACCTGTCTTTGTAGTACAACCATCACTCTGTAAAATACATCAGATCTATAGTTTGGAAGCTTTTGAGTCTGCATAGAATAGTAAGTAATTTTTCCGATGAAAGAAAGCTGGGCTACATTATGCCTGTTAGTGTGGTTTAGTTAAAGCTCAGCTGGTTAATTTTTCATGGGCTGTGTAGCAGGGGTTGGAGCTAGCATGCAAGATTTTCTTATTGCCACTGGGTTTTGGTAGGAACTGGGGTCAGCATATGCAACACAGAGGAATTTGTATGTAATTATTTTTTTCTCTAGAGGAATAAGATGATGTCCAAAAATGTCACAGCCTTCTCGGTCTAGCCCCTAACACCTGCCCCTTGAAATTCTTGCAGTCTTTGTGAGAAGCATCCTGATTACTGGATACTGAAGGATAGAGTCATTTTCAAAATCACTGCTTTTGCCCACACCTGAAGTCTAGTGATTTAAACAATTTTTCGTCTGGAATAATTTCAATTTCTATTTGAAACGGTTTCGTTGCTTCCATTACTGTGAATGGCTGCCAATGCCCATCCTTCCCCCAAGGAACAGCCTAAGCATCTTGTCAGGCTAAGGGAGAGGGAGCAGAAGGCGAATCAAAACAATACGAACATTAGAACCTTTCTCTGCTACCCAGATACCTTGGCCACAACAGTAAATGGATAATGAGGCATCACCATTTCGTCAGAGAGAAATACAGCTGCAAAGATGATGCTGGAGGAAGGGCTTGTGCAGCCCCTTTTCACTTTGAGGAATGGGATTAGGCTTGGCTCAGGTTTTCTTGCACACCCCCTCTGGAGCTCTGCTCTGTAGTTTTCTGCTTACACCTTGTCTTTTCACTTTTCTGTTACGGTGGGAATGCTCTTTCCTCTCGCAGATAGGAAGTGTCATTACAACCAGGTTGTGTTACTCTTCTTTTCCTCTTTATCCTTCTCTTTGCACATGGAGAGCCCCTGACTGCCGAAGAAAATTGGAACTTCCACACATGTAGCTGTGTGCTGGCTCCCAGTCAGCAGCATCCCCTTGTGTCTTTAGAGCAAAGCTGTCCCTCGAGACATTGAAACATCATGCCCTGGGCAGTGTTCTTATCTTTTCCCCCAGATTGTTCTTTTTCTTTTTTTTTTTTCCTTTTTCTTTATTTTTTCAGTAGAGGAACTTGACACCAGAAAAGAATTGCCAGCCTGGATCAGAGCAGGAGGCCATGTAAGCCCAGTTAAATCCAGTAGTTCAGCTTTGAAGTTACCAATGCCAAAACTACCAGAAGGTTGTACAAGAAACCCTCCAACGGGTGGTTTAATCAGCACCTCTTTCTTCTCTCATATGATTAAAAAGCTTAAACTCAAAAGCTTGGTGTTTGAAGGCTTTCCAGAATCTTGGTTAATACTGAATGAATACAGCTCTGCAGGTTGCTTTTATCTCTAAAGGAATTCCTCTTCTCTCTGAGTTCCCCGGTGTGACTGCACATGGTGTGCAAAGGTCCTCTGTTTTGCCAAATTTTGAGATTGTACACAAATTTTAATAGCTCCTACTCGTGATACCACAGATGGTTAGTTTTATAGCCTCCTAGTGAGTTTTTCCACATTGATAAATACTTGCCTTTCTGGTTCCCCCATGTTTGTATTTGTTCTTTTATGTGCATGTGCTCCTGGAAGCATGAAAGTTATAATTGTGTGTAAATGGGACTCGGGCATCTTCTGCTTCCCCAGCATCCACAATAGGATGTGGACACAGTTGTATTAGTTATATGGAAGGGCAGCTAGTGCTGTGCTTGAATGGTTGCTCTGGGCACATACAGATCATTTAAAGCACATCTGCTTGATTGTCCTGCACGCTTTTCTGATATTCACCACCACCTCCAACTTAGAGTATACAGATGCACAATTTAAATTATATGTCACTTAGATTTTCAGCTTCGTCATACAGGTTGTTTGCGTTCCTGTTCAACACTGACAAAGCTTGCTCTTTTCCTTGATGCAGCGTTGCTGACATTGGCTGGAAAGAGAGGAGGAATTTTTGGGACTAGGGATAGGATGAGAAACTCTTCCTCTCCATCTGAGATTTATCACTTGTCAGCAATAAAAAGCCTTTTGTTTGTTCTCTGTCTTCCACACTTGGAAGATGAAATCGAACAGCAGTTGGTTGAGAATAACAGTTTAAAAGCAGTGGGGTTCTTTGCAATAATAAAAGCTATTTCAAGGAGGCACTAGGAAGATGTAAATTGTGGGAATGGAATCACAGCGTGTTTATCACTGAGGTATCTTGAATTTCTACCTATGCAGAAATACCAGATTGAAATGCTGAGGGTAAACCCACCTACCTTCATGTTTCTGAGATGCTGCTGTTAAGGCACAACTTTTAGCAGTGATCTCATCTAAAATGGTGAAGATGTTACATCTAGCCTAGCATAAATCAGGAAAGCAGCAGAGGAAGTAATACACCAGTCTTAGGAATATCATACGCTGGAGGAAGAGCCGAGATTGATGTAGGATTGGATAGAGCGGTTTTAACAAGATTAAAAATAACAGGTGAAATCCTTGTACTTCCAAATTAGAGTGAAAATTTTCCATTGCCACTGGTAGGGTGAGCATTTTGACAGCTCTATTTTGAAAATAAGCAGCTGGTTTTCCTAAGCTGGTCAACCTGAGACTGTGATTTCAGAGCGAAGCAGGGATCTGAATTTTAATTAAAATGAGAATTTGAAGTTAACTGCATAAATAATTTGCATGGATCCTCCCTCTTCAGAATTAGACCCATTAAATTAAATTTAAAAAGAGTGCCTTAGGTGCCCTTTAATTCTGGTTGTGTGGGGAGTTGATGCCTTCAACTAATCCACTTGCAGTGAAGATGGAGTAACTGTCCAGAGTGTCACTGTGCACCCAGTCCTTGTGTTGTGAGTATTAGGCTGATATTCTGGCAAACGGTGGACAGAAGAACTTACTTCTCCAGATGTTACCAGTAAATAAATAGTAGTAAGGATCTCTTCATTTTTACAGTAGTACATGCTTTAGATGAGGAGAATGTATTTATGTGCATGTTTCTGTGAGATACGAGGGTTAGTGGGGGGAGAATATTGGTCATGTGGGGTATCTCTTTAGTGCAAAACATTTCTTTAAAAAGAGCTGAAGAATTAAAATGTGTCGAACCTGTGTGTTGCTGCCATCTTTGGCAACTCTGATGTGTGATTGCAGCTGGAAATACGCAGACACAAATATGCACTGCAGCAGTCCCACAGTGCCAGGGCGGAAGCAAATAATAGTTTCACTTTATGTATTCAGAGTATGTCACTGTGTAAAAATATGCTATCTAAAATTTAACTTAAAAGAAACCCTGAAAAATTAGATATTCTGAAGCAACAACAGGGATTTTACTAAACAAGATCTGAGCTGGGGTGACATCTCACCTCTCAGCATCCCATTCCCAGAGAGGTGTGAGGTGAGGCCAGGGCCAGGATACAGCACATCTGTTAACGCCACTGTGGGGGTTTCCTCATTTCTGGAACATGGCTACTAGAACATTCAGCTGTGCTTTCAAATCTCGATCCCAAGCCTGGTTTCCCAATGAGGGAGAAGGAACTTCTCTAGCTGACTATGAAAAAATGGCAGGTACCTGATTCTGCAAGAAATGGAGCAGTGTTATTGCTAAGTGATGGATTTGTGATGCTACTTACACCGTATCATTTTTAGAGTATCAGTGATTGGTACCTGACATGTTGTTTTTGCTTCACGTGAATCATTTTGGTTGTAAAATAGGATTTTTCTGCTAACCAGAAAATCTATCACTGAGCAGTTCAAGAGCCTTGTTCTCCTCCTCGTGACCCTAAAGCATCCTCTTGGATGTCAGCAGGAGGTCCTCAGCGCTGCGGGTGTTCTCATTATGCTTTGACATTTTGCTATTTGGTTTTCTTCCTGTTGCTGTTCAATGATTTCAATTCTTTCTTCACCGATCCCAGAAGCCATTTAGCAAGTGACGTACTATTAGTGACACTTAGCAACATCAACAGTCGCTACCCTTTTACCCTCTGAGGCTAAAACTGCAGGTCACTGCAATGGCATTGACATGGTTCAAAGTTTTGGCTGATGTAAATTGGTTTATATTTGCTTTGTAAGAGGCACAGATAGAAAAATAGAGCAAGCACAGAAAGCGTTGCAGGCTTTCTATCCTTAGCCCGCTGTTTATCACAGGCACTTCGCAGCTCCCATTAGTGTCAGATCTGGATGTCTCACAGCCTTCAATGTGGTATCTCAAGTAAGGCTGCAGAGGGAAGATACTGTACCTTTTGGGAGACTGAGGGTGCGATTCATCTCACTGAATTTAATCTACCAAAAAGATAGATTGCCGGATGATATTAATCAACTGTGCTTCCCTCTCTCCAGTGGAGAGATGGGCACTTCTCCCGGGGGTGATTTATGTGACTCTAATCACTGGGCAGCCCTGACTGTTAAGTGGCAGTAGGAGGCCAGACAGAGAAGGATGCTCAGTTTTAGATGAGCTCGGGTGGAGGCTGGACAAATTCATGGCAGCATAATTCTTTGCGAGTTGTTAAATCTGTAGCAGTAGCATCTGCCTTATGAATTTCCTAGGCTGAGAACAGTTGGAGGCTGGGAGTTGTTCAGGAGCAGTATCAGACGTGCGTGTCCAGTGGTGCTCTTACTCGTTCCTAAGCATCTATTTATGGCCACTGTTGGAGCTAACACACAGGGGAGATGGACTTTCTGTCCAACACCATATGGCCGTTCCTGTGCTCTTATGTGAGGCGGTTTTTAGCAGTGAGAAAGGGAGGAATATGCACTGAGTCAGAGGTGATTTCTGCAAACGGGAAATTGGCAGTAGGATTTACTTCCAGATCTGCAGTGAAGTGCTACTGACCTACAAACAGAAAAACTGGAAGTCGGTTTTACAGAAAGAGCCTGTGCCAGGTGCTGAATGTCAATGCTTTTATATCAGGTCACCGCAAGCCTTTCGGAGATTCAGATGAGCTGTTCCGCCATGTGTTCACCTCAGATGGTGCAAGCAGCTTGTTTGAGCCTCGGACGGTACGAGGAGACGCAGACCTGACATGGTTTTGCAGTGTAGTGCGTAGCTGTGCTGCTACACGAGAGCTCTGCGACAGCACCGGCTGGACTGACAGGGTAGAAGCTTGTCACTTCACGTAACCCACTGAGAGTGCAGGATGTGGCCCAAAACCCAGGTATTACTCACCAAAACAGTGCTCATGAGCTCCCACTGTCTTGGGCACATGTAATTCTGTATTTTGGATGGTTGTTCCTGTTGAAAGATTTTTGCAGAGCTGACCATCCTAAATGCTGATAGCCTTCATATGGTTTGCTTAGGAGGCAAGCATCTCAGATGGAGCATTGGGTAAATATATGCCCATCTATTGCTATGAAGATCTTTAGTGTTTCCATAGCTGTTAATTGGCAGCATCGCTGCATAAATACACTTATGTTTGAAGTTTGAATTGCCTTTTTTGGCAATATCTACATAAAGAGAAATCTTGATTAATCTGAGCAACGTTTTCCTTATAAAATCCCAAGACATAAAAAAGGCTGTTGGAATTGGATTCAAATCATCAAGCTGGGTTTGTTGTGAAATGGAAGCTTTTTCTCTCTTTAAAGCACACTCTGTTGAAACTGGCAGCAAAAACCTGTGATCCAGGGGGAATGTATCAAACTTGACTTTTGCAATTTCCTGTTTGGTTTCTTGCAAACTGCTTTCATCTAATCATATTTGAACTCAAAGATAATTTTATTTAATGTGGATTAGGTGGTATGACATCTCCATTGCAGCCTTTCATCATTCTCTGCTTCATTCTGAACGTGACATGATATTTTCTAGTACAGAAGAAATTTGTTCAGCAGTCAGCTTTGAGAGTCTGTCTTTTATAGCTCTGTAAAATGTTACGGATAGCAAGCAGAAAAAGTTACTTTATTCTCAAGCTTCTCAATTTCTTCACTTTAATTTGTAGATTGTAGCCACCACTGTGGAGAGGAGAGGTAGTTTATCCCCAAATCCTGCCCTGCTCACCAGCCTCCATAGCACAGCTGCACACAGCTGGAGTGGCGTAGTTTGGTACCAAAGGGACTGGTTACTGGGAGAGTCAAAATGTGATGTGGGAGTTGAAGGACAGAGTGTTAAAAGAGATGATTAATTTTTCAGCCTAATGAGTTTTGGGCATGGTAATACTGCCAAAAACCCAAAAGCACTTACATGTAGGGTGTAAAGCAGGAGATTGTGATTGCGTTGAGAGGTTGGAAAGTGACAGCAGCAGCATGGAAGCCACTGGGTAGAAGCAAAGGTTGGTTGGTGTTGCAGCAGGGGTGTTTCCTGAGGAGAACTTTCCCAGACTTCTTTCAGCTTTCCTTGAAGCACTGGAGTTCTACCACATCTGAAGGAGAGTGCAAGTACTGCACTGATGCATTGGTTTTACTCACTGCTCAAGATCAAACCAATCATCAGCTCCATGATGGAAATGTTCTCTTCTGGTCAGGCTGACAGAGACGTTTGGAAATATGGCTCTGGGATGTTGTTTTGTTTTTTCCCCAGTAAAGCCATGGGTTTGGTCTTTCTACCTACCACAGTCCTCTGGGAATTTTAGTTACTGAGTCCTGCAGAGACTTCAGGCTTCACCATACCCACATTGCTTGTGCTCTTTCTGCAGTCCATAACACTTGCAGTTCCTGAAAATTGCTACACAGATCTTTGGCTTTTCACAGGATATTCAGAAGCGTGTGTCCTGAGCATTTTCAGATATGTGGAGCAGATGTTCTGCAGCTTTTTCTGAGACAATGTCCTCTACTTATGTGAGACTGTGGAGCCTGCACTTGGTCAACCACGGGAGACTTTTCCAGACCTGTGTTCCCGTACAAACGAGAGACAAGCATAGAAGCAGAAAGCTTTTGTGAGAACCTTTTTTTAGTAGTAGATGGTCTTAGTACTGCAGTAGGTCTCCTCTTACCTGAATCCATGCTTTTGCAGAAGGGTGTAATTTTACACCTCTATGTAGAGGGTAAAATGGTTGTTGAATCATGAAGAATGTATGTTGTCATCTAGGATGAAGTTGGGAAGACAAATGGAACCTGCAAGGACCAGGTTAAATTATGCCTTCTTTTCTTTGACTTTTCCATATTCCTGTACTGAGTAACTTTAATCTTACAGAGAACTTTTCCTGGTACCACTGAGAAATCTGCTAAGAACGTGAAAGTAAATTTGTCCTTCCCAGTAGGAGAAGTCTGGGGTGGGAGAAGTGTTGTAAATCTGCCACTTTCTTTATTGCTATGGAGCCTGTCAAAATCCAGGTTGAAGTTTTCCATCGTATAGATTTATAAATCCTGAATCATTGCAATGGTGTGTTTTGCAAGTGAAGTTAGTGCACTGAGTGTTTTACAGTAAGAACTTTTGCAATTCATATGTTTTTGCATGATCTCTACATAAATCAAGGGTTCACTTCTGAGGAGAACAAATGCTCTGCATCCTGTCCTTGCTGTGCTTGCTCAGTGCCTTATGGCAGTATGATACCACTGCTGATAGTCACAAATCATTTGCATTTTGGTATGTGAGTGCTTTGTGGAAGGCTGTATCTCTTCTTTCAAAATGCATATAATTACTTAGGTTGACTTGGCACCTGCATGCTAGCTCTTATATACAGAGGTTTTCTTCAATAATACTGATTCTAACAGAAATGGAAGAAATACTGTAAAGCGTGTGTCTGTGGTATTCCTGACAGCACCACGTACATGAAATCTCACTAATTTTGCAGATTTGCTAGTGGTTAGTCTTTTGTAAAGACTTCAAGACAAAGCAAATTCAGATATTGGCCTTCAATCTAATTTTGCTATTTCTTTCTTCACAGCTTCCTGTTATGGGAGGAGCCTTTATGGACTCACCCAATGAGGACTTTAGTACAGAGTACTCCTTGTTTAACTCATCAGCCAACGTCCACACAGCCTCTTCCATGCAGAATCAACCAGAAGAGACATCCCGTTCTTCAAATGATGCCATTTTGTTATGGATTGCAATAATAGCAACAATTGGAAATATTGTGGTTGTGGGAGTGGTGTATGCCTTCACTTTCTAGGATGACTGTCACTCCAAACGCTGGAAGAGAGGATAACTGCAACAGTATTTGTCATGTGTATGTATGTACGTGTGTATATATACATGTATATCTATATAAATACATATAGGTAGGTTAAGTGCTGCCACAACCATGGAGGTGAAATGCAAGTTAATCATCTTGAATCGTGACGGCAGAAAGTTTGGATGCAGTTGCAAATTGTGTGGAGGTGATAGCTTTAATTGTGAACAGAGCCAATACCAGTTTTGTATAGAAATATAATAAAAGAGGGACCAATGTGGATACAGTAAATGCAAAGATAAAGTGAGATTTATATAGAAAGTGCTTATTTTCTACTGTTTAGATTTTTCTAGCAGCTCTTCTGCATTTTGTCAGCTTTTTTGTGCATTTTCTACTGTGGTATAATGTTGTATGAAATTGTTCTATGCCGTGTTTGCTGGACACCTTAGTTTTCCAGATGGACTGAATGGTCGGCATTGGCTCAGCTCTGATGAAGTACGAGTTCATGGCGTGCGAGTCTTCACGTGCACACACCGCTAGGCTGCGTCCAAAATCGTGAGTCTTAAAGCTAGAATTTCCAGGAAACAAAGGCCAAATACCAGGCTTTTCAACTCATTTCACTGTCATCCAGATTTCCTACAGCAGCCATGAACTTTCATAGGCTTATTGGTGTATCAAAAGAATGTGCAGAAATTGCGAAGCCTAATTAATAGTGAATGATGTCTATGAGAAAAATAGAATTGAAAGAAAGATTGGGCACTTCTGTGCTCGCAAGTGCAGGAGTCAGGTGTGTCCTGGGGTAGAAACAGCACAGAAAAAGGGAGCAAGTGACAAATATGCAAGTGGTTATATTTCAGTATTATATCTCTGGGTTCTGATGAGGCTTCTGGAAGTGATTTGTATATATCCTGCTCTGAGTAAGCACTCCGTTTATCATTTGGATTTGTTCTGCTGAGGGACAACATTTTCACTGCATTGCTCCCATGAGCAGTTCCTTTTCAAGAGCCGTATCTCTTCAAAACGAGCTGTAGCCTTCCTTGCTTCAAAGATTATAAAATCTTGAGGGAAGGGAAAAAAATAATCACCTCTGCTGAAAATCTCCCTCTTCCCTCTTAAAAAATAAACACAAATATATGAAATGTCAGCCCTTTGAGCATAGCAGACAAATACTCCTTCTGTATTTGCATGTGCTGTGTAGGTTTTCTGTCTCATACAGCTCCTACCCTAATTCCAGAAAGCCTTGTCTGCAGGCACAGAGGCTATTTTTGACACTTGTCTGGCCCTGAGCTTGAGGCTGGGCTAGGAGCTTTTGAATGTATAGAGAGGTTTGGATTTTCTTCCTTTCTCTGTAAACCCATTTTCCCGCAGGGCTGCTGGGCAGTTACTTGAATCAAAGCAGCATGCCCCAAATCAATATTTATAACCACTCAGTAGTCACTGTGTATATTTTTTTTTCCTTTCTATAAACTGGCCTTTAAAGCTGGGAAAGGTGCAAACAGGGGGGGAGAAAAGAAATGAAGTTATTTTCAGGATGAGAAAAGCAATGACTGCTCCCCTGAGGAACAGAGCATCTTTGTGTGCAGTTCCTTCCCTGTTTGGAGGCAGGATTTTGTGAAGATGGTTGAGGACAGGTGAGATCTGTGCAGGGAAAAATTTCAGAAATGCAGTTCTGCATGATCTACTGGACAGAAAGCAAATTCTGTTTAATAAAATAGCTGTGGTCATAAGAATGATACAAAAATGATGATTTTCGCTGTCCTAAAATAGCTATTCATGCCTTCTTAGGGAGAAGATAATTAAAAACAGGGGAGCTGCGTAAATTGTGTATCTTTCCTGTTCTTACACTCCTTTTTTTGCAGAAAGCAAGCTGTTCAGTGAGGTTGGAAAGCTGCAGAGATGCTTCCAATGCAGAATTGACCAGGACGTGGTGTACAAACATGTAGGCCCCATGGAAATGTTTCTTTATGTAATGCACTGTCCCCAACCATTTTCTTATAGTCTGTTGCCTTTGTAATGGTATGGTCTTTTCTTCAGTGTTTCTGTAGGCTTTCCAGTTAGGCCAGATCTTGCAAGCAAAACGTTTCCACCATGATTAAAACCAGTTTGACACTATGGTACTTGCCCGATAGTATTATTCTACTGCGTAATGAACTTGCCAGCGGAGTGCTTTGTTTAAATTTCCTAGAATATTAATCTTAGTGCAATTAGCAATGTTTGCATCTCTCTCCTAAAGCAGTGGACTAAATTCTTCGCCCACGAAGAAGAGCATTAGAGCAGGAACAGGAAAAAGCCAACACTTTGCTAATGAAACCAAATGGCACTTTTGTGTTGCTTTTCCCAAAGGAAGTGTCCTACTTTCATGTGAAATTGATAGTAATAGCAGGAGTGTTGGAAAACAATGAGTTCTCCCTCCCTTGTCCAGACCACCATCATACATATTTTCATCGTTAGAGGCTGAGTTGTCAAGAAGGACCAGACAGAACTTTAATTAAAGTAATTGGCTTGACAAGGTGACATGGCAAACTGGGTGCAGGCAGTGCAGGCATTTCCCGTCTCATAGTTAAACTGCACACTTAACTGTGCAGCTTTTCTGTTGGGAAAAATCAGGTTTAGAATGCAGGTGCAAGAATACTGCATGCAAGAGTCTGTACAGAATATTGTCAGGTGTATTAATGGTTTCTAAATTTCACATCATGTTCCTGGATGTTGTGTTCTGTGCTTTTATTTAAAGCATCTAGCACAGAGCAGTTACAAGATCCTGACTGGTGTGTGCTCTGTAGCAGACAAAGCAAAGTGCTGTCTATAAACAGTGTTAGACCCCTAGCTATGTTATAAACATCATTGGACAAATGCAAGAAGCAATGCTGTATGTGCTCCACTTTATTAATACAGTTACTAAAGAGCCATGGAAAGCAGGTAGACAAACTGGATGCCCTAACACATCTCTTCTAGCCATGGCCTCTAGGGAACGACAGCAACATATCAAATAATTGAACTCTTATTTTTTTTGCTCTGAGCAGCCAACAGCTCAACACAGCAGCTGTGCAGCCACCACATCAAAGAGGCTAAAGACTGAAAGGTTAGGGAGGCGGCTGCAAAGATACATTAGATTATAGAAGATCAGAGTAGGGAAACCCACACAGCTACCTCTGTTATATTTTTATCTGTAGGGCCAGGAATCTGCATCTGCACCGTGTGAGCATCCTCCTCAAAGAAAATGAGGGACAAGGATGTATTTCTGTGTAAACATCCTTGCAAACTTGAACAACAGAGCTTGAAACTGATGTGACAACAATAGCAGAGAAACTTGTCTGCCACAAATAATGTATTTGGCCATTTGAGTGGGCAGTGAGCTGATAGGTACCTCAGAAGTAATGAGATCCCCTCTCCAAAATCCTTGTCTGCAATGGGACTCGAGGGCCATCAGCATCCCACCAAAATGCTGAGCAACCTGCAATAAGAAGTGCCAAATCAAGAGTGAATAGAAGCAGCTATTGTAGTCCTATCCGGTACATCCATTGAAGATAAAGGGAAAATGTGTCTTTGTGTCTGGGACCAAATGAAAACAGGAGTCTATAGGTTGTTATGTATTTTGCCTATTATTAACTTTTGCTTTGCTATTCTCCAACACTTCCAGTTGTTAATATCCTTTTCACATTTCTCTGCAGGCTGCTGAGATTTACTAATTTCACATAGCTTTGTCTGTTTATCCGATGTAATTTTACTGAGCTTCCTGTGACTAATCACAGAGCAGAATCTGAAAAGTTATTCTTTTTAAGGAGGGTTTCCATTATTGAGAGAAATAGGCCAAAAATCAGAATCCCAGATCAAAATGCTTCTGTGCTTTTGGAGCACTCAGAGCTCTGGAGAATTGGATTTAATCTGGTTAATGCGCAGAAAGGAAAAGGGCAGTCAGGTTCCCGGTGATAATGTCAGACATCAGGGTTTTGATAAGCAGAGCCAAGTGCTTCATTAACTCCTGCTCTGCCCCTCTGAGTCTGATGCATGGCTTGAGCTGAGTTTAAGTGAAATAACCATCAGGTACAGCACATCCCTCCTCAGCGTACAGCTTGTAATCCTCGAGGAGCAAGTACATTTATACCATTTGCTGAAGAAGAGCCAGAGATCAATATTCTGCTAGGTATGTTGTTATTGGTACATTGGTCCACCACCTGTAAGGTAAGGATAGGGATGTTTTAACATGTAGCTAGCTCTTTAGCCCTGATCTGGGAGCATCCTAATGAAATCAAAACATCCTGAGGCCTTTAGGTCTGCTACTGCCCTTGATCTGATACTAACTTCTGGTGTTTTCTAATACAGCCCCTCTTTGCCTTTTACCTTATCTTTTCAACTCAAAATAGTGAAAAAGAAGTCATCACTGTGCTATTCTCTGGACGTGTAGAGAACTCCTAACAGCTGGGGACCAACCATGTCCCAGTTCAGGTTTTGGTCCTTCAGCTACAAAGGAGGAGGGAAGTGTCCAATTATCTACCCAGGAGACTCCAGGGGAATATGTGCCTTTGCAGAGTAAAATGCATGGCAATTTTATCTCATTCTGGCCTGTACCAGAGCATTTACACTGAGACAACATGACCAGACCTACTTTTGCAGTAACCTGTTTTGGGAATTACAGCAACACAGTCAGGAACTGAAATGGAAAACGACCCTGATAACACAAACGACACCTCATCACCTCAATGAATTGCCTCTGAAGGCAGGTTTGCCTGAGTGCCGTAGGCAGACTTCATCTGCTGGTACCGAGGCAAGTGGCCTTTCCTATGAGCATGAATGGGGTGTCTCCATCTTTTTGGGAAGTCCTTGGAGCATTGTGCTATACATCCTATGTAGGTGGCTAGTGAAAATATTTTTCAGTTGTAGGAAATCACAGAATGGTTTGGGTTGGAAGGGACCTTAAAGCCCATCCAGTCCAACCCCTGCCATGGGCAGGGACACCTCCACCAGCCCAGGCTGCTCCAAGCCCCATCCAACCTGGCCTTGGG